AGGTTTAGGGTTTAGGGTAAGCCCAGAATAATCTTTCCCCTGATAAACCATAATGATGGAGAACTAAATGTAGAAGAAAACGGAAAGTAAGATGGAAATTAGATTTATATAGGAGTTAAATAGATAAGCTGTATAATCCCTTCTCCCTAACACTACACCCCCCCAGCAATCTGAAATATTCCCAACCTATTATAGCATAGCATTATGGGAATACTCGATATTAGCGGGGCAGGGCTTTAAAGATTCGGGTGAGGCGATTATGTCAGGAATCCGTGAAGCCGTTTCCCGTAGAGCTTCACTCAACAAACCCTGAGCCCTAAACACCGCGCAGGTATCTGAGTATTTGGGCATTGACGAGGGAGCTTGGCAGGCCCGACCGTAGCCGCGTTTAGTCCCAAGTCTGCAGCAAGCATCGTAGCAAGCTTAGGGTTTAGGGTTCAGGGTATGGCATTGTACCGAGAATCTGTAGTCTTCAGCCCAGAAACGCGGGGGTAGATTTGAAAAAACAGGTGTTTGTGGATTCCCGATAAATATAATATTGCTCTAGATCTCTAGATGGTATAGGGTACACGAAAGGGATAACCTTCCACATGCATCCTGAATCATTTGTTACACAGTTTGTTGTGAATGGGTCCTCTCTCTATCGCCGACGTCCTCAAGGTTATGACTTTTTGATGACCACTTCCCCAAATCATTGCAATGTTAACGTAGAACCATGAAACGAGTATTATAGTCTTGGTTTAGGATAGTACACCGTTCCCAAAAACCATACGCCAAGTGTTTGAACAGATGAACTTTATTCCTACCCAGAGACTGTTTCGACAATGGGCTCGTGCTTAGGGTTTGTTGACCTGCAGCAATTTAGCAGTTTTCCACATGATCCTAAGTCATATGGGGTTACCATCCTGATCTAAATCACCATGATCCTGCCATCTGCACTGCAATCTCCAGCTATGGCTAGTAGTTTGAATGCTTTATCTGCAGTTCAGATGATCCAGCGCAGGCGTGGTCAAACTTTGTCGACGGACTCTTCTATGTAGATTGCTTCATCTACTTCTTCTTTAGCTTCCAAGATGAGCGCGGTCGCGAGGCGAGGAGACCTTCCTTTGGTTATATAGGGATTATGGGGTATCTATTGGGGTTACATATAGGGATAATAGGGTATATATTGCGGCAATATAGGGATAATGGAAATAGAATGGAAACTACTATTTAGGGTTGAGGGTTCAGCTACTCTCGCTGCCACTGCTGCCGCTGCTGCTGCTACTACTATCACGGTGACAGAGACCGCGACCACACAATCATCACCACTGGCACATCCGCTGCAGTCGCCACCGCTCTTTCTATCTCTACTCTTGCTGCTATTGCGATTGTTATCCGTGCTGATCATTACAAGCAGATGGCGGTGTTTGCAGTCGTTGATCCAACTGAAGCTTCTTTTTTGGATTGCTATAGAAAGGCCCATTTATTATCATGAACAGGATGCAACTACACCCTCGAACCACGAATGCTTCAACCTTGAAAGCTTTAGGGTCTCCCAAAACCAGGAGTTCCTTCTTGAGCAGGGGGGGAGGCGGGTGCGTATAATGAGCTTCCTAGTATGTTGGGGTTTGTTTTTGGACTCCATATTTGTGGAAGCTACTACATAAAATCAGCCATAAACGCGCTAGACCCTAAATCCTAAACCCCAAACCCTAAATCCCAAGCCCTAAACCCTAAACTGTTGCAGTCCCTCTGGAAAAGTTGGTTTCACCTGCTTGCAGTGAATCAAGGAAGCAAAAGAGAATGGGAAGTTCTGTCTTGTTGGGATCACGTAGGTACTACTCTACGGATACATTCCTTCATTCTGTGTAAACAAGGTAAGTAGATAGTAGTTTCCATTTTATTTTCCATTTCCCTAAATACGCCTCCCTATCTGACCATGGTTCCTACTACCTGTTCCATGGTCTTGTCCATGTCGCATACCATTTTTCGGGTAATATGCCTAGACCCTAAAACCTAAACCCTAAACTCCATACCAGGTGGATTGCCTCCCACGAATATGGTACCGCTATGCGACCGGAAGCTTCGTTGTGAATTGTCTTGCCAGCCTGCCCGACCAGGTGCCCTCAAGTACACGGGGTTTCTCTTGGGAGCGACACGGTTTAGGGCTTCAACATGGATATATAAGGGTTCAAAGCCTCACACGGTTGATGAGAAGAATCTTGCGCCACCCTACACGGCCCCACTCACGGTGGTTGCCGCGGGATATTAAGCGGTGCAAGATGTCCTCCAACCACCGTATCAACTGCTCTACAGCGGTACTGTGGAGAAATTGTTGGTGATAGTGGTGACGGTTGTAGGCAAAGGGATGATGATGAATGTTCAAGATTTGGGGTTTAGGATTTAGGGTGCAGCATTTATGCCAAGATGTAACAATGCCTTCTCCAATCTTTACAGCATTTTTGACCGGTTGTCTCTTCGTGATGCTATGTTATGATCAGTCCTGGGACAGATTATGACAAGGAGTTCTCTTCATCGGAAAGGATTTCAGGGAGCATATGGAAGTTAGCTTGAACCTTTTCCAGCCTTGTCCAAAGTGCTTTGGAGGACCGTGACCACTTGCCAGCAGCGTTTTACTCGGGAAAACGGTAAACTAGCCATGACAAGGTTTGTTGTTCAACGCCCCACCCTTACATGAGCTATTGTCAGTAATGCAAGGTTATCACGTGACCATTCAGGGTGGACATAGGGGTATGTCTAGTAGTCTTGTCCCTAATACACTCCATAATAAGGACCCGTGTCCATTGGTTCATACGGGAAAATATACTGACTGTAGCTCACATGGTAAAGCCTACAAGCTTGTTCTAAAAACACACACATGCAACGTTGCCGTTCATCAGCGTGCAATAAACATCGACATAACCTTAAGTTTTTGGAGGGTTCCAGGGCAGAACCCCAAACCCTGAACCCTAAAACAGTTTGTTCAACATTACTGAGGCTGGGCAAGTTGTAAGCCTGAAGCCCTAAATCCTTGCTGCTTGTTGGGGCTGGAGCCCTAAACCCCAAACCCTAAATAGCTCAAGGCTGCTTAAGGATAAGCAGTAGTCTTCAGGCTTTAGGGTCTAACCTAAACCCTTAACCCTAAACCGCGTCTTGAGGGTCTATATGGGAGTTTCTCAAAATAATCCTTATATAACTCCTAATGAGGACCCCCCATAATCCCTATAAAATCCCTATATACCCCCTGGGGTCCCTAGGGTACCCCCTTTTTGAGAAACCCTCATATAGGTTTTGGGGGTCCGACTTTGGGGCTGAAGTAGACAGCCCGACCCCTTAGGAGCTCTGAGGTGACAGGTTGGGACACTTTTCCTCCAAGGTTAAAAGCATGGGCCCTTAATATGGGCCCTTAACCCTTTTAGGAAGGTTCTAGGAACCCTTGAAGGGTACATATAGGGTACATAATAGGGAAAAAAGGATCCTAGGGTTAAGGGCCCATACTAGGGGCCCATGGTTTTAACAATAGATTTCCCTTTCTGTAATATCCTAAGGGCTCTGTGTGAGCTATAGTCTACATTCCTTAAAGGGGGGCATCATACAATTTATTAAGGGTGATACTAGGCGTTTAGAGTATGGCTCATGTAGGTACTATTTATAGTTATAGAGTTTAAGGCCCAAGGTAGGTGTATTCTTTTAGATTTAGAGCCCCAGGGATACCTTCCTTGTTCCATGCCGCAAAATGCTCCTGATGCTTCCGGTTGTCCACCGTCGACAGTGGTTTGGATGATTTTTATGTTTGTCTAGTTAGCAGTCTAGCCCCAATCATCAAGCTCCTGTCGGTGTTTTCCTAGGAAGGAAAACCAAGCTATAATCAGGTAGTACCCTATAGCCCCTTGTGACTACTCTTCCGAGAAACTCGAAAGTTTCGCAATATGCTTACCAAACGTGTTTGGGACCATGCATTCTTCCCCACCCTTGCCTGCACGAAATCCTAAAACACAAAACCTAGAACCCTGAACACAAATTAAAACCCTAAACGCAACTCTAAACAAGACCTAGAACTTCAAAAGCCCTTTACCCTAAAGAAAAACAACTGCAACCCTCAACTGTGGTCATGAACTTAAACCCTAAACCCTGGACCCTATCCCAACCCTGAGGGCCCAAAGAATAGAATTATCGTGGTGTGGTAATCCCAACGGTTTTGGGGTTTAGGGCTCAGCGTTTATCAGATCGTTCTTGTATACTGGACCTTATCCCAATTCTTTAGGGTCCTTTATTATCCCTTATATCCTTACAATCTTTCAACAAAACTCTAGCAGAATGTGTCCCCTAAATATGAGTAGAGAGTACAAGATATCCCCCATGTAAAGCCTGTAACCGCCAATCCTAACCCTAAAACTTAATTCCAAAACCTTGAATCCGACACCCTGAATCCTAAACCCTCAACCCTAAATCCCTCACTCTAAACCCTAAACCCTTTAGCCCTTTTGAAGGGACCCATTCTCCCGTCTTCCTGCACAGGCGGCGGGGGAGATGATGAAGGCAATTAGTGGCTCTGAAGGCGGCATGTCCAGCAGAATGGGGTTTGGGACTTAGGGTTTAGG